GTTGGCAATAGCTATGAAAACCACAATCAGCGTGCAATCCTGTGCCAAACTCGACATAACCATCTCAGAGCAAACTACGCAGCCGCCATTTAATTTGCCAAACAAAAGTTTGTCTTGCTACCACTGACCATAGTATATTTTTTATGAAGAATTTATTGTTGTTAAATTATTATGGTAGTATATGCAGAATATTTGCAAATGACAGCAAGGACTGTGTTGGCACACCTAAAAACCAAGCGACGAAAGTAAGACAAAAAAAAATACGATTAAAAGGAAAATACGATAAGGTTCTTTTGTTCAGACTTAAATAAATAGTAGGGGTTTGGGGTCATATTCCCCCAGAAAATACAAAAACACATTTTTAAGGCTTGTATGTATATTTTATTGCGTCAATTAGATTGACAAAAGAGTCCTCATGCTTACGAGCAATTGTGCTACGTAGAATTCTCCTTTCTGTGTTGCCAAAGAAGAGGGGCTGAACACCTTTTGCAGAGAACGCCTTTATATGTAGGCGGCCTTCGGCCGCACTTCGGGTTTAAAACTCTTACTACGCAGAATTCTCCTTTCTGTGTTGCCGAAAAAGGCGAATATGACAGTCCTGCTGTCATTCGCAAATATTCTGCATGTATTCTCACAATAATTTAACAATTAATTTATTTATTTTTTAGTTGAAATTGGCTCCTCGACGACGAGCATACTCGTGGAAATGGAACGAGTTTCTCATATGTGAATAATATAACTAGATATATCTGTGGCTAGATATTATTCACATATGAGAAAAGAACTCGTTTCCATTTCATATATGTATTTATGTACACACATTTATTTATGTAGCATTATCTTTTCTTGTTTTAAAACTTATAATTTTATATTTAATGAACCGACTTCATTTTTATGTGAAAAATTAATCAGATATTTGCTTTCACAAAACTCGACAGGTCAACACGACCATACTCGCCGAGGAGCCATTTTGAACTAGAAAGGTGTTCTCTGGCAAAGGTGTTCAGCCCCTATTCTTCGCAAAACTAAAAAAGAATTATACTTAGTGAGGGTTATAATCCCTAAGCGCGGCCTAAGGCCGCCTACGCAGAAAGATGTTCTCTGCAAAAGATGTTCAGCCCCTTTTCTTCGCAAACCAGAAAACGGAGAATTCTACTTAGTGAGGGTTATAATCCCTAAGTGCGGATTCGCCTGCAGGGTTTTTTTTAAACAATAATTCGATAAATAATGCGGTGCTTTTTTCAAAAAATTCTAAACATCGATAAATAAGAGAATTTTTTACAAAAAATCACACACTGGCTCTTACTCGCTGAAAAGTGTTCCCAGTGACTTGCGTACGGGAACGACTTCCAGTAATTTCATACTATTTCTTACTATGTCCTAGTGTACTGGAACAAACCAATTGATTGATACCCCTCTTGAATTGTTCCGTCAATTTTTGAGCTGATTCCGCTAAAGGGGGTAAGTTTTCCAAATCGGATCCAGGCTTTGAAAAAAAAAATATTAGGGAGTATAGAGGAGCTTTTTCAGATTCTAAATCTGAAGACCATACCCTCCGGAGGCTTAAAGTTTTTAAGTAATTCGCATTTAAAGTTGCAAAAAATACCGAATTCAACCTCACTTTTTCCTTTGTACACCAATTGAACTAAAATATCGGTGCTGCCATACACACCAAAAAATTCCAAAAAAAAACACAAAACGGAAGCAATAAAAAATGCACATAATGTTTTATTAAAACCCCACGATTTTTTATTAAAAATTTTCATAATTTATCGAAGTATGGTTTTATAATAAAAAGCGCCACCGGGCAAAATTTTGGGGAAACTTTCCTTCCGATCGTTGTGTGCGTGGTGGGCGGAGGGGGACGGGGCGTGGCACCTCCAACCGACCTTTTTGGAGAGGGCATGAACCGCCGTTGATAAAAATGCAACCCCCGACCACCTAGACCCCCTATAGTTCCCTAGGGACCCCTTAGAAAAATGTCCAAAAATGACAATTTTCACTTGCGTCCACAGTATTTTTGCGTAGAATTCCTTTCTGCGTAGGCAGCCCTTGGCCGAGCTTTAGAATTATAACCCTTACCAAATAGAATTCTCCTTTTGGTGTGCACATCTGAGGCTACCGCCCCAGTGATTTAGCCTTGGGAAAGGATGAGGTAACTAGAATTGCCTTTCTACATGGTAAACCTGGGGCTGCCGCCCCAGTGATATCTATTATGGTTACTGGGTGTTTTATAAAAATGTCTTGTATATAACCATCATTTAATTATCTAACCTCTGCAAGGCTATTCTTTGTCAATGTTATTCGTCTCTGGAATTCTATCCCTACCTCCGTTCGGAGTGGATTAAATAAAAGCAACTTTAAGAACACCATCTATACGTACTCTCGCTGAACCAAATATTTATTTATTTTCTGTGAGTCTGGGTTTCGCTATCTAAATGTTTAACTTTCTCTTGTCATCTGTGTTGATCTTTGCTACATATGTATAATGTGATATATATTTTATTTTATTTTTGTTTTAAGTAATCTGTATGTATTTTGTTTTACTGGTATTTTTAACCTCTGTTTTGTACTATAAAAGATCTATGATCTTATTGTACTAATGCCTTTTCTCTTAATAAATGAAATGAAATGAAATATAAAAATGTGTATATAAAAATGTCTTGTGCAAATGAGTATTTAACATTTTTCAAGCGAAAAAACGCAAACGCATTATTCTCGATTTTATAGTAAAAAGCCCAGCAGGCGGAAATTTGTAATGCGATTTTTTATTATAAATTTTCGAAATATATGGAGCTATATTAAAAAATTAAAGAATCAATAAAAACGAAAATAATACGGTTTATAGATGTATCTTATAGCGTCGAGAAGTATGGCAGCACACATGCCCTCTTACTGTCGGCCATTGGGCGCGTTCATAAGTCGTAGCTGTTGGGAAACCGTTGGCTGTTTGTCTTAGAAACCCACAGTTGAGTAGTTAAGCTCAGCCCAACAGTTGGCAACTTTACGCAATTTTTTCCAGCGGAAAATTTTTACGCTACCTGAACTCAACGTGTTGGACTTAGCCTAAACAGCTGATCGAAAAGACTTACGCCGCTTATATTAAATTTAACGCCGCTTTGTTAGGTGGCAGTTGCGAACAAATTTATTATATTTTATATTACTGACGTGATAAAGTAACTAAAATATTTTATAATAATACTACGTTTCTACGTATTTGTTGCAATTTCATTTGTTTACATTTATCAGCTGTTCATTTGGCAGCATATTCATCAAGCCGTTTCTAAGACGTAATTGTTGGGTTCAACAGTTGCTAGCAGTTTCGTAGCAGATGAGCTAAACAGCTACGTCTTATGAACGCGACCATTGTTATCTCTGTTTGTTTGTGAAAAGTGCTAAAACGCGTGAACAAATTTATAAACACGTTTTACTTAATTAATTGATGAATATATACAGTATATTTTGCTTAGCTGCCCATCCTCCTTTGCACGAAAAACTTGTGCACTTAACCGAAAAAAGCGCTTAAGCGAATTTTCTTTACTAATTCAATGAGGAAGGTATCCGAATCCCTATGAAACCAAATAATGGAGGAGCACTTACCACGTAGAAATTACTGCAAGCGAAATTTTTACCGAATGGTATCTAATTATCTACATAACTACATTAATTGATAGCCATTTTCGTTGTTCTGCGAGATGAGCAAAATAAATAAAAGCTTTAAAATTAGGTAATTGTAGGGCCAGGTAAACCTAATACTTTCTTTGATAGTTAATAATAGTTGCACAATTTTTAAGGCAGGTATTGCCAATGTGCAGGTATGTTGAATGCACCTATCGGAGGAGTTTCCTTATAAATGTTAAAAATAATGCCGCTGGTGCGCATTTTAGGGTAGGTATCTTAAATGTGCACTTAAGCATAAAGGCAGCAAGGCAAAATATACTGTATATATATATTTCAAGTATAAAATACGCACGTGTACATTGAAAATATAGTGTATCACACAAAATATAAGTGAAAAGTGGTATTTTGTACAAAAATTTGGGGGTGGTAGTGAAGATTATTTTACAACAAATTTCTTAAATACTATTAGCAACTACTTTGTGAGAGTGATATATTCATGTAGAGTTTACATTCATGACAGTTTACTGTCAAAAATTTCTCATTCACATACAACTTGTATGGGACAACCCGAAATTGACCGGCGTGCGTAAAAAGCTAACTCAAATTCCAAGATTTGTGTTGCGTGACATTTCGATTTGACGTTTGTGCTTAATTGACATTGTGGCGTGGCTATGAATTAAAAGTTTGGAACAAATGCAGAATAGCTCCGATTCTCAAATAAAAAAATTAATATTGGGGTCGATAGAGATGATTGAGCTGAACGAAACGGTATATTTTTTTTGCGGAAACAACAACTACAGAAGTTATTAAGGGTCAAAGTTCTAATTAAACAATTCTTTAAATCAAAATTTTTTGAAAACGAATGCATGGATTTCAAAATTTTGATCTCATTTGATAGGAAATCGGATTCCCTTTAATATGATATAAATATAGTCCTCCTTAAGTAGAATTCTCCTTTCTGTGTTGTCGCAGAAGAGAAGCGGAATTCCTTTCTGCGTACATTAATTCGATGTTTGTGAAAACTAAACAAGGCATATATAATGTATGTATATCAAATTAAAGGGAACTAAATTTCCTATCGGCTGAGATCAAAGCTTTAAAATCCATACATTTGTTTTTAAGAAATTTTGATTTAAAAAATTGTTTAAATTGAACTTTGACCCTTAATTACTTTTGTAATTGTTGTTTCTACAAGAAACGAAATATTCCGTATTTTATTTTATGTCTGTATTTTATGTCGAATAAAACTACTTTATTCCACTTTTCACCCGACGTTTCGCTAAAACTTTTTTAGCATCTGTTGCTTATTGAGGGAGTAACAAATCTTAGCACAGGGCGCGCCAAGTGACTAAATCCACAATAAAGAAAAGTCGATTGGATTTTGGATTTAATTCAAATATATACAATTGTTTATTCGCGAGATTTAAGCAATACAATACTACTTGAAGAAATTAATTCAATTTTGCCCAAGTGGCTTAATCAAAGAAGGTAATCCGATAAAACGAGTGCGATGCGGTCACGGCGGTAGTTGAATACGAAGTACTTAACTTTCTTAATTGCGGGCACAGGTCACCCCATGACACCGCTTACAACAAGGCAATCCAACTTTCCAAATTCCAAATTAATTCACAATAATATAAATGACAAAGTTGCCGGCCGCACGCATAATATGAAAAATGAGAAAAAACATATAAGGATTAGTCAAATTCTATTAAATTGGCGCTCATGTCCTCGACATGCCGGCCCGCCTGCACCGGTGCAACGTGCAGCAACTCCTGCAACTTCTCGAGCGTCACCCTGGCCCGGTCGAATAAGTCCCGAATGCGCCGTTCAACTTGGTTGCGGCCACCTGGGGCCCGACTTGCTGGTGATTTGACCACACGGCTGGCGAGTGTGGATGGTCCGCGGGGGACTTGTGTACGTGACTTGGCGCGGCAATGGCGTTCCGGTGGCGATGCCGTTGGACGATGCAGCATGGTGTGGTGTGCCATCCCACACCGGTGGCAGCTGTCAGCTGAGCTACATGCGCCTGTGGTATGCGAGGTGGCCAAACAAATTAACACAATATTTGTGTATTCGCGCGGATTCATACCGCTCATCGGGCGTCATAGCGCGGAACGCGTGGCAAAATCTAAGCGGGTGGTAGCGGCAGCACAAGCGGCATTGCTTGACTTCCATTTCACGTCTGTCCATCTGTGGAGAAACCGTCGAAAAAAATGAATTAGTCACGTCATTTTTAGAGCGAACTGGGGGTGCATATATGGGAACTAGAGTTGGTGACAGCATGAAGGGCGGATAGAGAGATTCTACAGAGTGGGCAATAGACATAGCTTTGCAATATTGCGCATGATGGTTCCGGCTTGGGTGTGAATATCCGCTACGCGAACATTTGCATCTTGACCTGGGTGAAGTTTCACAACGCGCCCGAGTCTCCACTCGTTAGGGGGTAGAAGGTCGTCCTTGACTACAACGAGGTCTCCTTCCTTAATGTTAGGTTCTTGTCGCTTCCACTTATGCCGTTTGTGGAGTTCTTTTAGATATTCATTTTTCCAGCGATTACTGAATTGCTGATGAATAACCTTCAATTTTTGCCATTTGTTCGTCAATGAGAGGGTTTCCGAGTGGGGTTCAGGCAAAGAGAGTAGTGGGGCACCACGTAAGAAATGTCCTGGCGTTAACGCCAACAGATCAGTGGGATCCTGAGACATTGGGGAGAGCGGCCTTGAATTCAACACCGCTTCAATTCGGATAAGGAGGGTGGTGAATTCTTCGAAGGTGAACTTGTGATTTCCTGCGACCTTCGTAAAATGAATTTTGAAGCTTTTTACAGCAGCTTCCCATAGCCCGCCCATGTGAGGAGCATCTGGTGGGATGAGCTGCCATGAGAATCCGTGGGTTGCGTATTTTTCAGCGATATCAGTAGCCGATTCTTTGAGAAATTGGGAGAATTCTCTTTGCAGCGTTCGCTGCGCACCTACGAAAGTTTTTCCGTTGTCGGACATGATTTTATTGGGGATTCCACGGCGGCCGATAAATCGGGTGAAAGCTGCTTTGAACGCTTCAGTGGTCAGACTTGAGCATAATTCTAAGTGTACTGCTTTCTTTGAGAAGCACACGAATACACACACATACGCCTTGCGTGAGGAGCTCGTCGGAGGGTAGATGTTTTCACAAGAAATGGTCCAGCAAAGTCAACACCTGTGGTATGAAAGGGGAGTGTATAGGTAGATCGTTCGGGGGGGAGCGCGGCCATTATCTGTGAACGCATCCTTTGTTTATAAATTGTGCATACCTTGCACTGAAAAACACATTTTTTTATCTTTTGCTTCAACTTGGGGATATAATATTCTTGCTGCACCATTCGAATCATTAGCTGTTTGTCAGCGTGGAGAAGAGTTGTATGGAGGAAGTCGAGCAGCAGAGCACAGAGCTTGGAATTTTCTGGAATTATGATCGGGTGACGTTCATTGTAACTGAGAGCTGCGTAAGCTAAACGTCCATTCACGCGCATAATTCCAGCTCGATCCACCATCGGATTCAGAGTCAGTACTGGGCTTTTTTTGCTAATAGATTTCCCTGCATTTAATGAGCTGATTTCGTTGATATAGTACTGGCTTTGGGTCTGACCGATAATGCGTAGTTTGGCTTGATTTATTTCCTCGTGCGTTAAGGGGAGAGAAGTGGGTATCGGCTATTTTCTCGCAGCGTTTATAAACCGATGCATAAACGCGATTACTCGCAATGCTCGAGCAAAGGAGGAAAAACGCTTAAGTATGTCCACCGATTCAATCGTGTGCAGGGATTCAATACGTCGTTGTTCTGGGAGTGACGAATGTGGAGATGGGTTTTTTGGCCACGAAGTGGGGAGTTTTTGCAGCCATTCTGGGCCATTCCACCATAATGCGCATGTCGCGAGATCTTGGGGATGGCATCCGCGGGTACCTAGATCGGCAGGATTCTCTGCACCAGGTACATGCCGCCAAGTGGCATTGCTCACATTTTGGAGTATGAGCGAAATTCTATTGGCAACATAAGTTTTCCAAGTGTGCGGCGGTTTTTCTAACCACGCCAACACAATGGAAGAATCTGACCAGAGGTATAAATCATGAGCAGGCAAATCTAGTTGCGAGTGGAGTTGATGAACCAGCTTGGAGAGTAGGACGGCTCCACAGAGCTCAAGTCTGGGGAGGCTGACTGTTTGCAGGGGGGCTACCTTACTTTTAGCTGCGAGTATGTGTGACGAGAAGGAGTTTTCGTCAATTTGTACTCGGAGGTAGACACAGGCGCAATAAGCTTTTTCAGAGGCGTCTGAAAACCCGTGTACTTGTACACGGTGAGTAGGGGAGAATTGCACCCAGCGGGGAATAACAATTTCATTAATAGCGGGGAGATTTTCGCGCAGAGTGTTCCATTTGTGGAAAGCGCTGGGTTTTACTTGCTCGTCCCAGTCAGTTCCTTCCATCCATAGTTGCTGAAGGAGCATTTTGGCGGAAATCATTATTGGCGTTAGCCATCCTGCCGGGTCAAACAATTTCGCTACCGCTGATAATATTTGCCGTTTTGTCCTCGAGGTGGCAGCGGGAACAGGATCGTACGTGTAAGAGAAGGAGTCCGTTAGCGCGTTCCATTTTATGCCTAGCGTTTTTGTAGAGCTAGTGTCCTGAAACTGGAGAAAATCAATATCAAGGACCTCGGAATCTGGGACTGATTCCAGGATTTTAGGGTGGTTTGAGGTGATTTTTCGTAGTGGAAAGCCTGCAGATTTTAGGGCGTCTTTAATTTGAGATAATGAGCTTAAAGTGGACTGTATATTATGCCCGCCTGAGAGAATATCGTCCACGTATGTTTCGCGTAGGTGGATATTGCTGGCGAGCGGGAATTCGTCTTGACAATCCCGCGCTAACTGATGAAGCGTACGGATTGCAAGATAGGGAGCGCAATTGACGCCAAAGTTGACTGTTTTCAGCCTAAAATCTTCTATGGGCTTATTTGGAGACCTACGAAAGACGATTCTTTGGAAGTCTTGATCTTCCTCGTGGACAAGAATTTGGCGGTACATCTTTTCGATGTCGCCATTAAAAACAAACTTGTAGAGGCGACATCGGAGAATGACGAGCATCAAGTCGTTTTGAAGGGTTGGGCCAGTGTATAGTACGTCATTGAGGGAGTTTCCAGAGTGGGATATTCTGGAGGCATTGAAGACTACGCGTACTTTTGTTGTTTTGCTGTCGGGTTTTATGACAGCATGGTGCGGTAAATAAAAGGATAAGTATTTACCGTCTTTGATGACTTCTTGGGATGAGGTGGGCTCCATATGGTCCATGGTGATGTATTCTTCCAGAACTTCTGCGTACTTTTTGCCAAGGTCGGGCTTTTTCTCCAGATTCCTTTCGATGCTGATGTACTGCTGCTGCGCTGCTAGTCGAGAGTGACCTAAAGCCATTGTGTCTGGAAATTCGGGTTTGACGGGTAATTTCACCGTATATCGTCCGTCTGCCTGCCGGGTTGTCGTGCGACGATACAGGTCCTCACAGAACTCCTCCTCACTGGAACGGGGTTGAGTGACTGCTACTTCCTCCTGTTCCCAAAACTTCTTCAGCAGTGAGTTTAAAGATTCATCCTGGGGTTCGGTTACCTGGGTGGTAAAGGTGGAGATCTTCTCCAGGATTGGGCCGCTCAGAATCCATCCAAATATCGTATTCTGCGCTATGAGACTTCCGCTTATGTTTTGTTGCAGCCCTTGTAGGAGAATTCGGGGGATTAGGTCACTGCCGATTACCATATCTATCTTATTTGGGGTGAAACAGTTGGGAACGGCAAGCCTTAATCGTTTTATCTCTTCTAAGTTAATATGAGAGATATTTGAAGTAGGGAGAAAGTGGGTCAATTGGGGCAAAATAATGGCCTGGGTCTTTATTTCTTGGCTTCTATCTGTTGAGCACAGTGTGATTTCGCACATTTTCTTTGAGTTTTGCACCACCATTCCACCCATGCCAGAAATCTCGAATAGAGCATCTGTCATAGGTAAGCGCAAGAGTTTTTGTATCCGGGATGATACAAACGTTTTTTGTGAGCCTTGATCCACCAGAGCGCGAATATTATGATATTCGCCATAACAATATATAGGTACTATCCCCGTTGGGAGGAGGGTTGTGACGTTAGTACTCGAAAAATGAGACGACACTTTATTTACGTCGCTTTTCTCCGGTGGCTTATGTGTCGTATATTTTGAGCAAGTGGGCGCTTCAGTATCCGTAATAGTCTGAGTCGATAGCTGACTCGTTGTTCGCTGGGGTTTTGAATTGGGTTTTGGTTGCTGGGTTTTTTGCGGGAAGTGCAAAGGAGAGTGATGTTTTCTTTGGCAGTATACACAAGTGAAGCTGCTTGTACAATCACTCTTTAAATGGGAGTAAGAAAGGCAATTTTCACAATAATTGTTCTCTCTTATGAATCTTACACGGTCAGATACGGGCATTGCTTTAAATTTAACACATGTCTTCATGCCTGGGTGCCTTGAGTTGCAGAGTTTGCATGAGATCGGCTGATTTAGATCTACATGAAAATTTTGAGTTCTACTTTTATTAATGAACGTCGAGTTTTGGTTCATCATTCTGGGTGTAAAATGTGGGGTAGGGGGTTTTAGTTTGCCTGGCCGATATGCATGTAGTCTTTCTACTACTTCATACCGGCTTGTGAGGAATTTATTCATATCTGCCCAAAGTGGTAACTCTTTCCGTGAGCTGAGTGATTGCTCCCATAGAGATAGAGTTTCACTGGGCAGTTTTGAAGAGCATAAATATACAAGGATGGGGTCCCAATTGCTGGTTGGGATTCCTTGCGCTGAGAGGGTTGACAGGCAATTATTGATAGTGGACTGAACTTTTTGGATTTGTTCACCACTTTCTGTATATATGGGGGGAATATTGAATAACGCTTTTAATTGGTTATCTACCAATATCCTACGATTCTCGTACCGTGACTTTAAGGCATCCCAGGCAAGTTCAAAATTATCGTCAGTGAGAGGGAATTGTTTGACTATTTGTCCTGCCTGACTTCTGGTTTTTTGCCGTAAGTGGTATAGTTTCTGGGCTGGTGTTAATTTGGGGTGATTTTTATAGACTGCCGTGAACATATCTCTGAACGCCGGCCAGTCTTCGTACCCACCGTGGAAAATTTCTGTATCACACGGTGGTACCTTGAGGAATACTTCTTGGGAGTTCGAAGAATGGTGCCTGTTTGGGACTGGGAATTTGCCCCGAGAAGTTGTAAGCCGTCTAAAATTTGCATCTTACAGTTCTCATAACTTTCTGAGCACTTATTATATTTTTGCTCAATTGATCCGCTAGATTCAGCGAAGTGCTCAGAGCGGGATACTGCTCTATATGAGCTTATTAGAGCATCCCATAACTTGTCAAGTTGCTGTAACTTCACATTTAAAAGCGTTTGGGTGTGTTCGCTTATAAGTGTGCTGGACCATTTTGAATAAAATGACTCTAGCCTATTACTATCAAAAATGAAGTCCTGAAGGCTTGAGTCAGAATCAGTGGGAGATTACTTTTCCATTTTGGGTTCTAAAGAGGTAATTGGGGGAATACGGAGTAAACCGTGAGTGAAAGGGTGAAAAACGTAAAAATATTTTTATCTTGTCTTGAGATACCAAGATGTACTCAGCAACTTCTTATTTTTCAATTTAAAATATTGATTTGCGCTACTTTTTAACGTTTGATAAATTTTTTTTGTGTGGTGCTATTTTTATGAGCTCTACTGTATCTACCTTGGTGCTATTTTCTTGTCCTCTACTGTATATTGTCTCAGCGCGTCTGAGCCCAATTGTATATATGTACGTGTGTACGTATGTGTACGTATGTGTATTTGCTGGAGTTGCAAATTTTGGAAGCGCAAAAGGTGGTTGGAGAGCGAGCGAAGCGAAATAGATAAATATGCGAGCAGTACTATGTATACGTACGTAAGTAAATGGGTATACCGTTTGTCTTTTCGGCTTGTGAGTATGTACGTATGTATATATATATATTTATATGTAGGTATGTGGCAAATTTTTGTAGCAGAATCGGATTTTTTTTTCCACTTTGAAACTGGGGAATCTCTATGGCATAAGTGGAAGAAGGAGACAAGAGACAAGCGATTTAGGTTTCTTTTCGGGTACCAAGAATTAAAAGCAAATTAATTGCAAACACAATTTCGTGTGTTATGCTTCTGGGTCGTGCGTATATGTGAGTATGTACATATGTATGCCTGAAACAAGTGGTTTCAGAGTAATAGCGGGGAACTGAACAAACGGTGTACTGTATGTAGCTATGTACTTCTTTAATATACGTGCGTGACTTGGTGGAATTTTCTACTCTCGTATATATAAGTACATATGTAAGTACGTGTATCGTACGGGACAAATGAGCTGATGTATATATCTGGATTAGTAAATATTTGCTTCGCGCGCAACGCTAGAACTCACATATATATGTACATACTATGTAGAAATTTCGGGACTTATGTATGTGAATATGAGGGGGCAGTGAAACTGAGATTGGGTAAATTGTATTACGTATGTATATTTTATGGCGGTTTTTTTGTTTTGAGAAGGGGAAATGTGATATTTCGCGGGATTATATACTTTTATTTATGTACATATATGTCGGGATATATGTATTCTTGAGGAGATATGACTTTAGTTGCGGTAAATTAGAAGTTCAGCGACTTCAATTTACCGTACTGGGGAACCGCTAACAAATTTACATACGTAATATATGTATATTTTTATGTGCAAGTTTAGGGTAGTGAAATGGTGCACTTACTTGCTTCCTGGGTACCACCTGTTTTTTTTGTCGGGACTGTACCGCCTGAAATGGCCTGTATCCTGTCGCTGCCGTTGCTGCTATCCGCTTTTGTTGTTGGTACTGGGGTCTTCACTGCCGCTAAGCCGGTTTTTGATTCGCCTCTTCCCTTTTTTTTGTAGGGCCTTTATTTTTATTTCAGCAGGTACCGTTTTTTTTTAAATTTAATTTTATATATATTTTTTTCAGCTGTGAGCTTTTTTATTTAACTATGCAGTTCTTTTTTCGATATCTTGGTCTTTTTTTCCAGCAATTTTTTTTTTTTTTTGGTAAGTAGGTACGCACTTTTTTCGCACACTTTTTTTCCAGTATTCAGCCTTTTGTTTTACTTTATTTTTCAAGTACACTTTTTGCCACACTTATACGCCTTTTTCGTTTTTTTTTTTATAGATTCTTTTTTTTTTCAGGTAATTGTTTGCTTTTTATTGAACTTTCTTTTCTTTTCAGGTGTTTATTTGCTTTTTAATGAATTTTCTTTTCTTTTCAGGTATTTATTTGCTTTTACTGAATTTTTCTTTTCAGGTAATTCTTCTTTCATTTTCAGGTAATATTCCGGTAATCGCTTTTTTAACCTTTTTATTTTCAGCTATTTCCACGTTTTTCCGTCAATTCACCCACTTTTCCTTTTCCACAGTGCTTTTATTTAATTTTAATAATTTTTTGTATGACGAACCACCCTAATGCTCGGTTTGAGGTGCCGCTATATAAGAGTTGGCTGTTATTTTTGTTTTTGTTTCACAGTATATATATATGTTAATTTCACAATAGATTTAGGTATCAATTTTATAAACTTTTTGTTCACTTCACTTTATACTTGCGTTTAAATTTGGTTTTTCTGTAATTTTTATTCGTTTTTCCGCTATTTCTTTATATTTGATTGTTTTTCACTTCCGCTTGCTTTTCAATTAATGCGCAACTACCGGCCGCTTTTAAGTTCTCTTTTTGACTGTGATCACTTCGCTTTGTGGGTATTTTTTTTTGTTCGGTCGCGGGTTGCCCTTTAGCGACAAAGGACCATGTTGCTTATTGAGGGAGTAACAAATCTTAGCACAGGGCGCGCCAAGTGACTAAATTCACAATAAAGAAAAGTCGATTGGATTTTGGATTTAATTCAAATATATACAATTGTTTATTCGCGAGATTTAAGCAATACAATACTACTTGAAGAAATTAATTCAATTTTGCCCAAGTGGCTTAATCAAAGAAGGTAATCCGATAAAACAAGTGCGATGCGGTCACGGCGGTAGTTGAATACGAAGTACTTAACTTTCTTAATTGCGGGCACAGGTCACCCCATGACACCGCTTACAACAAGGCAATCCAACTTTCCAAATTCCAAATTAATTCACAATAATATAAATGACAAAGTTGCCGGCCGCACGCATAATATGAAAAATGAGAAAAAACATATAAGGATTAGTCAAATTCTATTAAATTGGCGCTCATGTCCTCGACAGCATCCTCAGGGGTAGTGTTTAACACCCTAACACACAATCGGACTCAGAAACAACAAAAAGCGCAAAGAAATTCTTCAGTGTTACATACACTCCCAATCTTACCGATAATTTTGATCATAACATAACAAAAAACACAAAACACAGCACTTGCATATAAATCTAATTACACACTTTCGAGAATATATACAAAAACAAAATGTCCAGTGGAGGTCCACCAACAAAACAACGTAGTCTACGAAATTAAATGCAATGGGAAGGAAACAGAAACATGCGGAAAGGTGTACATTGGGACAACGAAGCGGCCTTTAGGTGTTCGATTAGGCGAACATGAAGCGGACATAAGGAAACGGTAAAGCAGTACAGCATTATCACGGCACATTTTAACAAGTGGACACACAGCTGATTTCGCGAATACAAATATTATTGACAAAGAAAGAAGAGAACAGATTCGATACACAATAGAGAGCCTTAGAATTATGCAAAAACGAGAAATGACAATTAATAAGAAGGAAGATACAGACAACATTGCGACCGCATACATAACTAGTGAAAAAAAATGAAGTCTTCAGTACTGGCAAAACTACCACATCAAGTGGTATGGATATATTTTCTTTCTTAGTGATTAAGTATTTATACATATACATATCTATGTTTGAATATCTAAACAACGTGAGTTGGTTTGTCATTAAATTCAATTTGTTGTTATATATGTATACATTTTTGTTTTTTCGGTTAATACTTAATGTGTGTGTTTTTTTGTATTTTTGTATATTTGTTGTAACAGATGAAATAAACACTACCCCTGAGGATGCTAAAAAAGTTTTAGCGAAACGTCGGGTGAAAAGTGGAATAAGTAGTTTTATTCGCACCAAAACTGAAAAGATCAGACTAGCCTACAAACATAAAATAAATTTGAACTGATCGGACAAAAGAGATAGAAATATACCGTTTTACTCACCTCAATGATCTCTATCGATCTCCATATGTTTTTTTCTTTTTTAAATCGAAGCTATTCTGCATTTAAGTTTGTTGTTGTTGTAATCGTTCAGGGCCTGTCGGTATGCTGACGGGTGCAGAGGCTGCTTAATGAACCTCTGGACTTCGTCCGTCAGTTCGTATAGATGCCTCCTGACGTGCTTAGGCGAGTATTATGTTATGCTCCTTGATTGGGAGCATTTTCCTCTCGTCATGGAGGTGGTGTTCAGACATCAGGAGGCATCCAGTCGCTGTCCTGAGTACGGTGTTCTGTGCTGTCTGTAGCTGCATCCACTGCGTCCTACTAGTCCCCGGCGACCACAGTGGTGCTCTGTACTTTGTTGACAACACCGGTAGCGTGCGCAGAGAAGGAGTGCAGGCTGTCGAGTGTTACTGTTGACTAGCCTGGTAACATAATATTTAATAAATTGCGAACTGATCGGACAATAAAACATGTTACTCCGAGTATTTTGGGGTGATTCACCGTCGGAATTTATGTGTCATCGACGTGATTTCCCAGCAGTAGCCTGACCTCCTTCGTCCAGGTGGTGAACAAAGTCGCAGAGGATTTCGTAGGGGAGAGGGCTAGACACTTTGCTGTGAAGAAGCGAGAAAGATCGGAAAGATGTCCATTTACTTTCGAACACAATTCATCAATTCCATTCCCAGTCGCCATGGTCGAGCAACCGTCGGCATAGGAGACAATCGAGACTCCCTCTGGTGGTTGAGGGAGCTTTGAAATGTAAAAGTTAAACAGTAGCGGGGAAAGCACACCACCCTGTGGAACCCCCTGTTTGATTTTCCTAAGTTTGCTCGATTTGTCTATAAACATTACCGACGAGTGTCGACCACTCAGATAATTTGCCGACCACCGTTTGAGCCTCTGTGGGAGAAAGGAACCTCTATATCTTCCAGTAGCGTGAAATGGCTGACAGTGTCAAATGCCGTTGACAGGTCCAAAGCTACTAGAATCGTTCTCTCACAGGGACGGTTACGGTTAAGGTCACGTGTTATCTGAGTATTTATGGCGTTAAGTGCTGTTGTTTCACTGTGCACTTTACGGAAACCATACTGATGCTTCGCTGGGGTCAGGTGGTTCGTGAAACACGGGAGCAGCAGGGCCTCAAGTGTCTTCGCTACCGGGGAAAGGAGTGTTATCGGTCGATACGAATCTCCTTTGTTGGCGGGCTTCCCCGGTTTGAGCAGTGGGACCACTCTCCCCACCTTCCAGATGTCTGGGATGATGAGAGTGGGCATTGACAAATTGAGGACCTCACTTAGGTACGCGACTCCCACAGGACCCAAATTTTTCAGCATCAGCATGCATATTCCGTCGGGACCCATGGCTTTGCAGGCTTTCGCCTTCCCGATGGCCACCTGAACTTCACCGCAAGTGAAAGCAAGGGGGCACAAGTTGTTGGCAGTTTGTGCAGCCTTCTGGTCACTCGACGCTTGGCTTTGTCCACCGGAGGATGCAGTATGAACTGCCGGCTAAAATAGCTCGCGCATCGCTCCGGGTCCGACGAAGCATGGTCGCCGAAAGAAATTTCGACTCTGTCGTCGTGCTTCGTCGGATTGAACAGTGACCTCACGGTTGACCAAAGCTTACTCACACCAGATGTGAAGTTACAGGTCTTCAATGCTCTTCCCACTTCTTCCGCTTATGTACGTTCACTAGTTGAAGAATCTCCGCGTTGAGATCCCTGATACGGGGATTTCGGGATCGGCCAGACGAAGGCTCTGACGCTCATCGGTTAAAACAGCCGCTTCGGCAGGGAAATTTAGACGTGGGTCTGTAAGACATCCTTCCGGTACGAAGCGAGCTGCAGCAGCGTTGACAGCCCTGCGGAACTTACGTTCACCAAGGTGGACGTCGGTTGGTGTGGGGAGAGCAGCGAAGGTGTTTTCAGCAAATTCTGCGAAGCCTTCCCAGTCAGCTTTAGAGAAGATGATATAGGTTATCGATCGTGATGACTATGGGCAGATGGTCTTATGCCAAAGTCAGCATAGGTCGTCATATGCAGTTTATCAGACCAGCGCTGACTATTGTATGTATGGCGAGCTGCAGCAGCTGCCCATAATCCTGTCGAAATGTCGAATCGTCTATCTGCTCAGCAAAGTCAGTTCCGCTACAATCGTTTGACGGGCCTAAGTGCCAAAGATCGTGGTGCGCATTGAAGTCACCTACTACCATCCGGTTTTCACCACGGAGGAGCGCACCTATATCAGGGTGATATCCTGCCGGGCAGCAGGTGGCAGGGGGTATGTATACGTTGAATATTTCGAGCTCAACATCGCCTGACCGGATAGCAATGCCCTGACATTCTAGGGTGGTATCCCTGCGGTCGATGTCTGCTTCTATAAGACGATACTGCACGATGTGGTTCGTGATGAACGATAAGCCGCCACCATTATCTCCCTCGCGATCTCGAAGGTGCAAGTTGTACCCGGCACAATTCAACAATGTTGAATTGCTGTGCAACTTCGTCTCTTGGACCGCAGCTATCAATATACCATGCCTTCCCATGAAGACGGTTATCTCCTCGATCTTGCTCTGAAGGCCGTTGCAGTAAAATTGAACGAGTTTCATGTGGTTCGGGAGACGTGTGGTAATGCGGGGTGTGAGAGATGTGCGTAGACGTGACGTCATTGGTTGTGTGCGCTGCTGAGGTTGTTGCCGCCCTGTGGTGGTGGTGGGTGGCGTCGCAGTTGAGGTTTGCGACCGCGCAGTGCAACACGGGCCCTCGAAGTTCCTCGTCCAATCTCGCGTGGTGCGCAGACCTGAACATGCCCTAAAGGGGCACCAGCCAAGGCAGGTGTTGCACTTGACTGATGTCACATCACGAAATATCCTGGTCTGACATACCGTGCAGATTATAGGAGGAACCAAGAGTTGTTGGCGGCGGCGTGTGGGTGGTGGTGCGGTTGTGTGTGTTCTGTGGTCTGTCGTGGTTGTCGAGTGGTCTATTGTGTTATGTTGTTGTGCTGTGGTTTTGTGTTGGGCTGCTCAGGTGGACTGGGGTTAGCCGTGGAGGCTGCTCTGTTTGAGCAGCAGGGGGGCACAAACGACGTGGACCACTGCCGATGTGTCCGTAATTCTGAGCAGACTCTGAGGTTACTCCACCCCTCGCAAGCATTGCACTTGACTGAGGTGGAGTTGTGTAGTCATCTCTGGCATACACAGCAGGTGTAGGTTTCTGGCCCTGGGTTTGACCCGATGCCAGCCCTGAGCAGAAGTAAGCGTAGCGAATGTAGCCCTATGGACGAACAATTTCTGAGATACCTCGCCGACCTAAACGGGGTTAGATCGCCGAAACAACAGGCCTTGGTCGGGTAAAACCCGAGTCATTCCGGCACGTAGAACCGGCTGTCGGGGGTCTAATAGTTCCCTGTATGAAGTTTCAAAGCGCGCAACCTTATAGTTTTTATAGAATTTGTTGTTAAAAGGTTGTAATTTTAACCAACTTGTATGGCAATATTTTACAATATATAATGCACTTTCCACTAAATTTACACGTTATTTACACTCAATATATGCGCAGTTAGAGTGTGCACGATCAAACAAATAAATACTTTTAGTATATTACAGCTTTTTATGAAAAATTGATTGTTGTTTAATTATTATGAGAGTACATGGAGAATATTTGCAAATGGCAGCAGAAATTATGCCAATTTAGATATCGGGCGATTTTGAATAAAGAATAAAAGTTAATTAAAATAGAAAAAACAAGTTTTTATAAAAAAAAATTTCTTTATAACAAATGTTTGCGTAAAGTTTCTTTCTGCGTAGGCGGCCTTCGGTCGCACTTAGGGATTATAACCCTCACAAAGTAGAATTATCCTCTTGTTTTGCGAAGAAAAGGAGCTGAACACCTTTTGCAGAGAACACCTTTCTTCGTAGGCGGCCCTCGGCCGCTTAGGGATTATAACCCTCACAAAGTAGAATTCTCTTTTTGTTTTGCGAAGAAAAGGAGCTGAACACTTAGAGATTATAACCCTCACAAAATAGAATTCTCTTTCTGTTTTGCGAAGAAAATGAGCTGAACAACTTTTGCAGAGAACACCTTTGTATATTTTTAATGCTTCTGGGTTATAAAATATCTTCTTTTGTCTCTCATTCTTTGCATATTTTGGAGTTTGACAGCTGAACTCCGCCATTTAATTTGCATATGCAACCAAAGTCAGACGCGTGATTTTGAAGGTGTTTTTTTTTTAATGTATTGTGATTAATTGGTTAATATTAAAGTCGTAAAGAAAGTTATAACTAATCGAGCAAAGTGCAAAGTGAAGGGGAATACAAAAATATATTGGTGAAGTGGCTGCTTTAAGGAGAATAGAAGTATAAATGTACGCTATTTCCGAATTTTACAAAAAAGGGCATATTTCAAACCCAATTTGTAAATAAATTAGTGACCAAAAATTACAAAAGTGGGTGCTAAAATAATGGTCACACCCTTGACTACAAGTGTGTGGATGGGTGGGGTTTAGTACCGCTCACAACTATTTCGGGCTATTCCGTCCAAATCGGTGGCCCGATCCAAAAAAAAATTTCACACACTTGTAGTCAAGGGTCGACGCAATATTTTAACACTCACTTTTGTAAATTTTGGTTACTAATTTATTTACAAATTGGGTTTGAAATATGCCCTTTTTTGTAAAATTCGGAAATTAGCGTACATTTATCACTCCTATTCTGCTTAAATTAGCCACTTTACCAATATATTTTTGTATTCCCCTTCACTTTACACTTTACTTGATTTGTTATAACTTGCTTTACGACTTTAATATTAACCAATTCATCACAATTCATTAAATAAAAACACCTTCAAAATCACGCGTCTGACTTTGGTTGCATATGCAAATTAAATGGCGGAGTTCAGCTGTCAAACTCCAAAATATGCAAAAGAATGAGAGACAAAAGAAGATAGGATATAACCCAGTAAGCATTAAAAATATACAAAGGTGTTCTCTGCAAAAGGTGTTCAGCTCCTTTTCTTCGCAAAACAGAAAGGAGAATTCTACTGCCTGAGGGTTATAATCCCTAAGTGCGGCCGAAGGCCGCCTACGCAGAAAGGTGTTCTCTGCAAAAGGTGTTCAGGCCCCCTTCTTTGGCAACACAGAAAGGAGAATTCTACTGCCTGAGGGTTATAATCCCTAAGTGCGGCCGAAGGCCGCCTACGCAGAAAAGTGTTCTGTGCAAAAGGTGTTCAGCCCCCCTTCTTTGGCAACACAGAAAGGAGAATTCTACTGCCTGAGGGTTATAATCCCTAAGTGCGGCCGAAGGCCGCTTACGTAGAAAGGAATTCTACGCAAAAATACATTTGTTAAAAAAGAACATTTTTTTTTATAAAAACTTTTTTTTTCTATTTTTAATTAACTTTTTATTCTTTATTCAAAATCCCCCCATATCTAATTTGGCATAATTTCTTTTATTAAAAAATCCCACGGTTTCTGTTAGTTGGGTCATATTCCACTTCAAACTGCTCAGTTTGCCTAAGAAAAATCCGTTTTTCCCCCTTTTTCAAACGGTTCCCTAGGTGCCTATGGGAGGAGTCCAAGGGAGGGGTTCCCCTTTTTAGAAAGCGGCGACTGTCTCCTTTCTATTGGGGGGTGTTTTGGGGGCCCCGCCCCCTCCCCCTCCGCCCCCCACCCAAAAAACGGTGAGTGGTACTAAACATTTCCCGTGTGGATTTTTTATTTTTTTTGATCGAGATACCCTTTTGGACGGAATAGCCCGAAATAATTGGGGAGCTACTAAACCCCACCCAAAATTACAAACTTTAATAACAAATTACTTGAAAACTATAAGGTTCCGCGTTTTAAAACTGTACATAGACCCCCTTTAGAACCCCCACTACCCCGCACATTTTCCTTAATTCCGACTCGGGAAACCATTCTAAAATTTCCCCATATTAGGTTGGCATGCAAGTTTCATGACGAAATTTCTTATACTTTCGCTGAAATATCTATTGGTTTCGTTTTGGAAAGCCAACCCCGCTACTACTCCGAGCCGTCCACATATTACTAAGGCGAACTGGGCAAACTTTATGATTTAACAATACCTTCTTCGGTCTTCGGTAATTCCACAACTCTAGGATGTGCGTGTCCTTCGCTTGCTGCAAAGGCGGCAACAGTAGCTTTGGCTGTAGCTGAAGCCCGTACATCCAGTGATCCTTGGATGTCAACCGTTTCATAAACGTGTTCATAAACTTCTCTTACAGCATTTAAAAAATCACTTTGAAGAACCTTTTGTAGTGCCGATAGCTTCGTTGTTGGAAAATCACCACTTGATTGCAACTTTTCCAGCAATTCTATTGCACGTTTTATATCTAAAGAAGTATATGCATTTAATTAATTTATTAAGGGTAAATTCTGAAAAAGCGCATTACCTTTGGACAAAGTTAAGGGCTCACACTGTCCAGACATTTTCTCACTAATCACCTACGATTTTGTATCCTGAAAATAAAGAGGCAAACGATGCATCGATATATTTGAAACATCGATAATATCGGATCAAAATTCGGCCTGCATAAGGTTCATTCCTTATCTTTTTGGACTAAAATCTGAAAAGTATCAAAATGCCAAAGCGTAAGCAAAATGCGCTCGCTAATAGAGAATAACAGACAAAAAAGTAAAGGAACGCAAAAAACCAAAATTTTTAGTCCAAAGAATGGCAAAAACAACACTAACGTCAAATAAGAATGGAAATGTATGTACAGAACACATTCACACAAGTACAAGCACAATAAACACTTAGGGCCGTTTGCACCATGTCTAGTTAACGCTAACTGGAGGTACATCCTTCAGTTAAGCACGTTAACTGCTTTATCGATCACATCTTATATGATGTGTCTCGATAACTTCGATAAAGATGTTTAACTGGGAGTTAGAGTTATGGCCTGTTTTTGATTACGCGTAAAAGCACATTTAGCGCATTTAGCACTAAATGCTACTCTAAATGTACATTTATCCATACAAAATTCGTCACCTAAATGCAACTAAATGCAACTCCATTTTTGCATTAAGAATCTAAATGCTAAAAGCAACCCTGTGATCTTCCAAAATTTCCACGATTCGAACATGGTTTAATGAGAAAAAGTGGCAACATTGCTTTTTCGCGTAAACAGTGGCTAGCTGCGTTTCAGTGATCGCCCATCAAGATTTCATTTATTATTTTACATTATTTGGATAAACAAAAGTTACGCAAATTCGACAACGATGTGATGCTGATAGAAATCTGGATCAATTTGTGATCAACTCTGTTTGTTTTGTTTCCTAATGAAGTGAGGAAATTTTAATTGACAGCAGCGACAAATTAATACATACACAAACAAATTTTTGGTTATGGTTAAAACAATTCAAGTTTTTGTATTGAATTTTTGGTTTAAAATATATTTTTTCTCTTTCAGTAGGGTTTTTTGCACATTATCTTTTCCGTGAGAATTGATCGTAATAGATACGGATCTGAATAAGCGACTGGAACACGGCTCTTTGTCGAAAACATACGATTTCGAACTAGCTTAAATGTACATTTGCTAAATGCGATAGCATGAACACTCTTCGAAAAAATATGTTCGAAAGCGCTAAATGTTGCATTTTAAATGCAGCAAAAACGCTGCATTAACTAGACATGGTGCAAACGGCCCTTACTATATCAATTATTTTTTGCTTCCTTCCAATTTCAATTCACTTTTTTTTACTTTTCAGGTTATTCTCACTTTTTGTGTATTCTTTAATTTCTGTTAATTTAAATTCAGTTGAGTTTGACACTTTTCAGGATTTTGCCACAAAAAATTCTTCTGACTAAATCTGACTACTTCGGACTGAAGGGAGTCACTCTCACTGAGTGTTACTCTCTCATTTTTGCTGTCATTTTCGAGTTAAGGAACGCTTTTTGGACTAAATCTGACTACTTCGCACTCTTTCTGACTATTTCTGGGAAATAAGGAACGCAACTATAAAACGGCTAACATTAGTTGCGTTCCAAATGATCACGATTTGCAGGTTTTTACAGGAAGTCGTTCCAGGTGACCACCTCCCATAAGGTTTATTAATGGGGAAAACAGCTGTTCCTGCAAATCGTGAATTTCGTGAGGCATCTGGAACGCAACTATTAGTGGAGTTCTTGTACGCGATAGTTTGTACCAGTTTGTACTAACTATCATGTTTTGGTGTTCTTGTACCCAAAAAACTTGTAAGAAAGGGGAAATAGAGCGCGAAAATTTACATTTCTTTTTGAGGAGAAGTTGCTAGTTTTAACTGGATAAATTTTTGCTAGTAAGAACTTGCAAGTGAGAAAAACAGCTGATCGCATGTTGCTGGGTGGTGTTAAAACTAATAAAACAAATGCTTATGAGGTTTTCATAGTTGGAATTGACAAAATAAACCTATTTACTTATAATATATATTGTTTTATTAGGAACTAGCTGCGAATAAACAACAAATTAATCGGCTGCTCGTAAAACTTGCAAATTATTACCAATTTTGCGTTCTTGTACTTTTGTGCTATGAGAGCGAATTCTCAGAAATTAAGTTACTGGAGAGTTACTGGCGAGTTACTGGATAATTTGTAAAAGAACACAACTCATATCGAAAAGAAACTATTGATTGGGCACTGTCACACGGTCATTATTTATTTACGTGATCCAAGTATCGCGATTTTTATTGACGGTGTTGCATGCAGTATTGATGGATCGTGATCCATATCCCAAACTTTCTAAAAATTTTGAAATATGGATCGCGGATCGCGATACCGTCAATAAATATTGAACGTGTAGCACTTTCAAAACGCGATCCATACATTTGGTCAGTACAGAGAGAGTAAAAGTCATAATGTGAACATCGGCTCTGCCTTCGCTCTCGGGGCTTAAAATCATTCAAATCAAATTGAACAAATTTTAATTAACATTGAAAATTTTAAAATAATTCTGGAATGCATTATCTGTAAATTATACGTACAAAATAAAAATATTTTCTTGCGTCATAATAAGCGTTCAGCATAAAAATTATGCAAATACTGACGCGATAAATATTGAACACGTAACATTCGTGCGCGATCCATCAATCCATCAATATGGATCGCGATCCAAATATCGTGATAACACTGACCGTGTGACAGAGCCCATTGTACGGTCGCATACATATGTACATCGAAGAAAACTTTAATTTATTGTTAGCTGTGGTGCAAAATAGAGAAGAAGTCGGTGAATTTAAAGAAAGAATTAATAAAAATCAGTGTATTCAATTTGTATATAAAAAAATTTGCAAAAAACCTTTTTAGCGCTATGTGGATAGAGAAGAAAAAATTTGAGGCCAGTGTGCTTAGAGAAATTGAACAGTCGAAGAGTGCGGACGTGTTTTTAAGTTCGCTCCGTAGTCATTAAATATTGTGCTATTTAATAAAACAAAA